TCATCCAGGCATTTCAAAGGGCTTCATCAATGTTAATTATGCCCCAAGCCCTTGTGAAGTGGTGCTTGGTTCAATTTTATGAGCATTTAACGTCAAGCAAAGGCGATGCCACTGGCCCAGGGGTTACACAGTTTGAACATACACCTATTAGCAGCCCTCAAGTGTCTGGCCAAAGAGTTGAGGTGTGCAGAGCTCCTGACATGAAGCCCCTCCTCCAGAGCCCAGAGCTTAAGAACTGTAAAATGGTGGTGTCTGGGTCTGCTGGCAGGGAGGGAAGTGAGGGTCCCTGCCTGGGTGGCTTCTGCCTCTGGACAAGCCACCGTGCTCCTCTTCTGCAGAGGAACCACGCCCGGTGTGTTCACAGAAGTTATCTAAAGTGCTAAGTGTTCAACAAGCACACGTACGTGGACGGCTAACCCAGAGCAGGGATTCGACCCTGGACTCTGTCCCAGAGTGAAACAACGGTTTCCCACTGAGGGGCGGTTGTGAGAACCACCTGGTGTTGGCCTCAGGCCAGTGTCCTCACCTGCGATGTCTCTGGTTCTTGAGTTCCTTCACCCACAATGTCAGTTGGGGAGGGTGCGTCTGAGGCAACATCTAGTCCGGCTCCCAACTGGCTCTCGACTCCACTGGGCAGAGTCCACTGAGGTGGAAGGGAGGGGAGGAAGGAGGCAAGGGCCATCCTCATTTTGAAGGCAAATACCTCAGTGGGGGCTGCTGTCAGTGGAGGATCTCAACTACCTGAGAAGGACCAAGACTTGGCCAAAGTCACAGAGCAAGAAAGGGAAGAGCCAGACCTGATCAGGTCCTCCCAACACTTTGGTCTCCAATATACTGCAGGTGAAGTAGTACTGAGGTCTCCCCACTATCAGGAACCTTGTCTTTGGGACATAGGTAGGCCCAATTGGGACACGGTGAGAATAAAGGAGGCTCTATTAATATACATGGACATGAAGCCAGGACTTCCGGCCACTGTACTCATAGCGCAGTCTCGGAATGGGAAGTGCCACTAGCGAGGGAAGTAGGCTGAGGGCAACACTAGAAGCAGGCAGCAAGGTTTCAGACTCAGGGGCTTTCTCAGCGTGGCGTCAGCAGACCTCAATGTCAAGGGTGGGGCAGCAAGACCAAAGTCACTTCTCTCTCTGCTTCTGCTTCCCTGCGTGGATGTTGAAGACCAGCAATTCTGGGCTGGGGTCCTGCCATTGCCACTTACTGCTGTGTGACTCCAGGAGAGTTACCGTAACTCTCTGAGCCTCAGCTGCCCCTCTGAAAAATGGAGTGACTGTAAACGCTCACGGATTGTCACGTTACATGAAATAAGGCACGTGGTGAAAGACCACCCGGCACATAAAAAATACTAACACAATTCTAGCTCGTTACTATTATTTTTAAAATTTCCTTTTTTATTATCACTATTATTAGCAACAGCTCTAAGGACCCTCCTGGCTCCAAGAATTGATCTTTTATCAGCTACAACTCTGGGAAAGAACGGTTTCCAGAAAAGCAGCCCAAGGTCACAGAGGCGGGAAACCTTGCTTGGATAGTGGTATCTGAGTGAAACCAGCTCAGATCTCCCGTTCCAAAATCTGCTTTACATCTGCCAACGAGGGCCTCTATTTAAAGACCACGGTGATAAGACCAGTCATCACTTGCTATTTAAACTGACCTCCCACAATCCCTTGGGCTTGAAACTGCCAAGAGCTAAGTATAAACTGCATTTTGGCTTGCTCTGAGGGTTACTCACATTCAAATACAAGAGATGCATCAGTCTGGCTGAACCAGGCTCTGCTGCCCTGTAACCTGGCTTCAGGCCAGCTCCCTGACGCTTACCTTCTCCGGTAGGGGAGGCACTATCTTCCCCAGGATTGCTATTTCAACACTTAATAACCAATGTCAGGGAGAGAAGGGGCCTTGCAGAATGGCTGGCACAATGCGGGGAGTGGTGGATAAAAGCTGATGGATAAAAGCAAGGGCCTTGGCAATGCACAGACTCAATTCAAATCCTAGCTTTACTACCTATTGACTGTGTGGCCTTGGGTAAGTTAATTAACCTCTCTGTGCCAGTTTCCCAATATGTAAAATGGGATTATAATAGTATCTACCTTATGGGGCTTTGTGGGGATCAGCACAGTCCCGGCCATATAGTAAACACTCAACCAATGTTCACTGCCATTATGATCATGATGATTACTATAGTAATTGGAATTGGCTACAGAAGCATGATAAAGGACCTATATTTTCCTGCCAGGAAAACTGCCAAAGGTGATACCTGAGGTGGAGCTGGAAGGATAGGTAGGATTTCTATCAGTAGAAACGGGATGGTGCAGGCAGCTTCAGTTTCCTTCATCTGTACATTCAGGTCATCCTCCTAACCACCCCTGTAGGATGGATTTAAAGCTGAGCTGCAGAAGAGTTGCAGAGCTTTCCCCCAAGTTATATTGATAGAAAGCGAGAAAGCTGGGATTTGAAGCCAGGTCTCTCTGATTCTAAAGGCCATGCTCTTAACACCTGTTGTGTCTCCATTTTTTATCAAATTCTGTCCTGAAGGGTAAGGTACTGACAGAAATAGCTCTCCCTCCCCAGACTGTAAACCCCTTCCGGGAAGAGATATCTTAATTATTTATACAGCCCCCTCGCAGGCATGGATAGCAGGTGCTCAGCTGAAATGCCTATTTGCATTTCACTGAGGCCCGACTCTTCCGGACTGAGGCCAAGCCTCCAGGAACCCCAGGCTATGCTGTCTCCTGGGCAGCTGGCCTCCTGGCCTCTCTTTCACAAATCCCCCCTCCCCACCACACCACCCCCCACTCTCCCCACCCCAACAACCAGGGCAGAGAGCAGGGCTGCCATTCAAGGCAAACAGCTTCCTCCTGACTTCATCCTGATCGAGTTGGATCTGGGCCCTCTTAATGTTTTCCTTGCCCCAAAGATAGATGATGTCAGGGCAGCCTGCCCAGCCCATATAACCGCCTTCCCCTGAGAGCCACCCACAGGGCCAGAACCCCCAGAAACCTGTTCGCTGTGTGACTCCACCCCCCTGCCCGCCACACATTGGACCAGGGTAGACACCTGACTCAAGCTGGCCAATCAGGTCTTCCCTCCTTCCAAGGTGGGGTAAGAGTCCCGATCCTTCCAATCTCCACTGTCCTTCCTACCTCTGGTTCCAGGAGCTACTCCGTAGTCTTATAATAGTTTTTTCTTTTGCCTCATCACCTCTGCAATGGGTTTTTATTCCTTGCAACCAAAATAGCCGTAACAAAATCAAGGAGGAGGAAAACAACTTCCCCAGGCAGAATTAAGTACACCTTCCTCTGCTTTAAGCACCTTCATCTGCTCCTCTTTGTAATGACAGGCACTTCTGCCTCCTGCATGGGCTAGGTGCTTTTTCATTGATCCACATGATTGGAGGGATGAGGGATGGAAGGAGGTATTACTACACCATTCTACCCATAACAGAAGCTCTGAGAGGCCAAGTCATGTGTCCAATGGCACTTAGCTAGGAAGGAGCAGAGTAGGGATTGGAACCCAGGTCGTCTTCTTCCCTTTATCCCCCCTGGAACTTCAGTTGGCTCCTAACTTTGCCCATGTGCCTGTCTCCCACCTCAATTCTTTTTTATTTTATTTTTTTAAAGATTTATTTTATTTATTTGAGAGCGCGTGTGCACACAGCGTGGAGTGGCGAGGGGGTGCGGAGAGAGAGTCTGAAGCAGACTCCGTGCTGAGTGCAGAGCCCAGAGGGGGTCTGATCTCACAACGCTGAGATCAGGACCTCAGCCGAAACCAAGAGACAGAGGCTTAACCCACTGTGCCACCCAGGTGCCTCCTCCCACCTCAATTCTTCTTGTTGGTAGAGTTACCATGATTGATTTCTCTCTGCTCTGGCACGAAGGTATTTCTGTAATAAGTAACTGAATTAATTTGTAATTAAAATGGAAACTTACTAGAAGTCTCATGTGGGAGAGTGTTCTGTGTTTTCTTAGACTCTCTATTTGTCTATTTGGCATCCATTCATCACAGAACCAACTGTATTAACTGTATTTTCTTATGTTCTGTATGCTTGATGCTCTGGCATGTGTGGCCTCCCTCACCAGGCACCAGACCCCCTCTGCCGGGCCAGCCAATTCTTAGAAATAGCGAAGGAGCATGCGCTGCAGCACTGTTTACAGTCACCCCAGCTTAGAAACAACCTGAACAGCCAGCAATAGGGAATCTGTCCAGAAAATTTTGATATGGCAACTCAACAGATTATTGGGCAATCATTCAAAAAGTATGTGTCAGGTCATGATCCCGGGGTCCTGGGATAGAGCCCCGCATCGGGCTCCCTGCCTGGCGGGAAGCCTGTTTCTCCCTCTCCCACTCCCCCTGCTTGTGTTCCCTCTCTCGCTCTCTATTAAATAAATAAAATCTTTTTTTAAAAAAAAAGTATGCGTTAAATCACTACTACTCGATGACATGAGGAAATACCCCCCACACAGGCTTAAGTCAAACAACCAAGATGCAAAACTGTCTGTACAATCTGGTCCCAAATGTGTAACACCAAAAAAAGACAGGAAGGAAATATCCTGAAATATGAACAAAGCTTGTCTCCAAGTAACAGAGTAGGTGATTTAAACAACAACAACAACAGATCTTCCAAGTGGGAAAGCATCCCTTTAAAAATATTTCTCTACCTTTCAATTTTTATGTCTTTCTCCAACCCCCTATTTTTATGTATTTCCATGAGCATTTCTTTCCTCTGGATTACACGTTCTCCTACCAGTGGGGGTCGGG